ACTGACTCCTTCTTTCAAGTAAAATCACATTCCAGGGACTAGAAATCGTGCTAACCTGCCATCTCGTGGGTGCTCACCCAAATAGCTTTTTGACTCAAGATAGTGGGAGGGGCCAGATTAGTCATATATGCCTGAAGAACAATTTTCGGAGCCTCCAGGCATTGATAAAGAGGAGGTTATTAAGGAAAAGAAAAGGAAAAGGGTAGTGGCTTTAGCAAATTCAGAAAGGTACATTGATTGGCACATTGCATACTTCAGTAAATTTGACAAAACAATATGAATGATGGCATAATAACATCGGTTTGTGTATAATTGCAGAAGTCCCAGTTCTCGAAGAGGTGGTGAATTGTCAGTGGACGAATTAAACAGTTCAGAGCAATTCATTTTTAGAATTATTCAAAAGGAAAGCTTTTCAACTCTCGATAATGATAAAATCAAAAGCTTAAACCCATTTCATGATGATCAACAGATAATGACTGAAGTCAAGAGTTTCTAATAGACTAGAGACAAATAATTATCGCTTTCCAATCCTTTAGCCTTCGCCCTAACATTCTGTCATCGAAATTTTATATCAGAATAGAATTGTTGATACTGGATCGTTATGTTTGATTTCAATTTTGTGAAAATAAACTTTGGCACGTGGAAGTGATAAAGTCTTTTTTTTTTTAAGATAAAAGTCAAAATGACATTATGTTGGCAATACAATGCAAAATTGTCAATGCTTTTAAATGTTTTATGTAGAAAAGGTTTGTGTTGCCAACATAGTTACTAAACGCCATAACTTGAAAAAAAAAGGGTTGTCGTAGTGGTCATATGACACATCAACTTTTTCGACAAATTAAAATAAGTGACTTCTGGTTCAAAAACCGACGAACGTATTTGACGTCATTGATTTGTATCAGTCAATTTCTATTTGTTAAAAAAGGAAGGCAAAAAGTATGAACTCTCGTGAAACAAAGTTTAGTTGTTTTCAACGACGGACAAGACAATTGTTTTGTTTTTTTTAGCAAGTATATAAGTAAACAATTGTGGAAATAATTATCTATAACAAGTCCTATGACTAGGGTACGATAATAGTATGCAAATTAATTGAATTAATTAAACAATTATATCCAGATTCGTCGCTATCGTCAGAGGCACGTCCATACTGAACCGAATAATGGATTAATGAAGCTACAAGGAAATATTCTAAATAAATAGTATACACAACATTATTATTGTAAATTGTTTAATAATTTTGTGGCTAATCTTGAAAGGGGCGAAGTTAATGCATTACTATAGCTATCCCAACTACATATTTGGCGATGGCTATTTAAATAATAAAGTTATAAGAAAATGTTTCGACCTCAGAGGTTTCGACTAAAAGGCACTAGAACTAAATAATATTAATTACAAGAATATTTATGAGAATTTCATACATCTGTCAAAACTGGTATTCCAACAATAAATTGACATGTTTTGATTGTTGATTTGAACCAATCAGATTGTAATTAATAATTGCATACTAACTGGTGCGAAAACTGGTGTTTTGACATTTTTTGCCAAAAATTTAACTTTTTGATTTATGAAATTCTTTCATTAAATACAACTCGTGCAATGGAAATATATTTATAATTTTCGACAAATTTGCACTCATGCGTTTTTAACTAAAAAAGGCACTCGTGCACTACGTGCACTACGTGCACTCGTGCTCTTTTTCAACTAAAAATGCATTCGAGCAAATTTCCCAAAAATTATCAATAATTTCCATTGCACTAGTTATATTACTATTGAGAATTTCATACATCTGTCAAAACTGGTATTCCAACAATAAATTGACATGTTTTGATTGTTGATTTGAACCAATCAGATTGTAATTACGCGATAATTTGCACTAGTGCAAATTATCAGATAATTGCATACTAACTGGTGCGAAAACTGGTGTTTTGACATTTTTTGACAAAAAATTTAAATTTTTGATTTATGAAATTCTCTCATTAAATACAACTCGTGCATGGAAATATATTATATATAGATGGACCCTCTGTGGTGGGTATCAATTATCTATAGTAGCGAAAAACAGGCTTGAATCAAGCATACCAAAACTGAAAAGAGACAATTTTATCTCAAGATATGATTACGTTTTCAAAGAATGGGAATCCATGAAGATTATTGAAAGGATTCAGAAAGACACAGAAGAAGAACATTTACTGCCTCATAGGCCAGTCATTAAAGAAGGTTCTGCAAACGCAGTGCGTCCAGTCTTTGATGCATCTGCGCATGAAAGAGAAAATTCGTCTCTGAACCAGTGCCTAGAGAACCTGCGTTGCTCATAAAATTTCGAGAATTTCAGATTGGTGTAATTTTTTTTTTACTTACTGCCAAAACAGTAATTCACCCTTAATTTTAAGATAAAGTCGGCAAACTACAAGCGAATTTGTTGCGTGAAGCTACCCATCTGCAGCAATAGGCCTGCGGGAATAGAAAAAGTATTGAAATTGCAGTTTCATCTTTAAAAAATAAAATTCCTCCAATACTTTGGTGACGATGCCCCGGTCAGAGAAATTTAATTCCGGTAAATTATGAAGAACAGAAATATTCCTGAGACCAGTGAGACTAGACCTGTGAAAAATATTTGTTTTAAAATTGAATGTAGGTACCTAACAGATAAGTTGAGAAGCAGAATTATCGCTAACAAGAACAAGATCTTAACACAGATAGGAGATAGCAAATAGCAATAAATGATAAAAAATGGGCAAACTAACGAAGGATCTGCAGAAAAATTTAAATCGGCCATGGAAACAAATTGAGAAGAAAGCGATCTGATATAGGTAAATCTTAAGATTTGGATTTGGATCCAACCAAATTATGCAGAAATTTAATTCACGTGTAAAATTAAAAGAATGAAGTATCTACGTACCTATTCTTGGAGTGATTTTGAATTAGTTTATATAACTTGAAAAATCTTCATGGTTTTTGGAAACGCTCTTTACAAATGAGACCCAAAAATTGGGGATTTCAATTTAAAATACATAATAGGCATGCTGTCATAATAGAACGTGAAAGAGTCGTAAAGTGGCGAACACAACAATTTAAAAAAAATTTAAGAATTTAGAAACAAGGAAAAATCCATTTATATTGTATCCTTAGGGAAAACTCGATATAATAGGTACTGTAATAGGTAGCCAGGATCCTGCCCAAAAAAGTTGAAATAACAGAAGTCAACCACATGATGTGATACTCTGAAAAGGAGATTTCGTATGGTGATTTCGAATGACGAATCTATCTACAAATGACTGGGACAAAAATAGTATTTTCTTTAAATTGTACAGTTAAACATTGCAAGAATGTTATGTGGTGAAAAAAGCCATTATTTTTAGTAAATCTATTGAGTTGTGTTTTGATATTAACATTAGCCTGATGATGGGATGTAAATTTTAGTTCTGGAAACTAGTCGCCAATCAATCGTGAGAAAATACTTTTGTTCTACTTCTCAATAATAAATGTTTGTCGGAGATTAAATCCTCAAAATTGCTTATTCAAGTTTAGTTGACTATAGCCAGAGAATTCCCTAATCAAACTTCCTAAACTAAAACTGAACTAAGGAAGTTTAAAGTTTGGAATAGGTTTTGTTCAAAATTTGAACTATTCATTAAGTATGTAAAAAATTTGGCACAAGTAAATAAAAGCTATCAAAATTCTAGAAACTTCCGTTTATTCAATACGCTGAAAGGTTGTCCGTGTTTTTCTTGAGGAAAAAACTACTTAAAAAAGTGATTTCTCAGGCAATGGTTTGGAAACGACGCAGAAGCTTATCTGCCGAAATCCCTATAGCCAGCTGATTCATGAGTCCTCCTCCGGAAAAGCAAATCCTCCGAACTGAAATAATTTCGATTTCTCTCTTTATTTGGTTGGCACCGAGAGTGTGCCACTTAACTCCTCGAACTTTTTAAAACATTTTTTCAAATAATAACAGCATTATAGTCAGGAAGAAATGAGCAATGTATCCTGCCTGCATCTTGCGAGAAAAAAATTAGAATTGAATAAAATTGAACCTCTCGGAATACATACAGGGTGATCCATTGTAATGTTACCCTCCCCTCTTTTATGTGATTTTCGGATTAGATTTTCAGTTTTTCTTTGAGATTGAGATTTTTCAGAGAGTCAATTAGTTCAATAAAAGTTGTTATTGTTCACATAAGTAATATATAAGTGAATTTCCAGTGAGCCCACGGAATCCGAGACCATTTGGTTGGCGATATCTCAAAAATAATATGCTTCTATTAGCAGCTATTGACAAGTTAGGATTTATTATTTATTAGGTATCAAGGTTTTATTATTAAGACTTCAAAGGGATCGCTGAACATACTCATTAGTATTTTTTTTTCAAAACCGTGTTGCTGAAAAATGTCATACCTATAGACTTCTATTTCTCCTGTAGAATCGTTTCCTTAAAAAATATGTATGAGGTCACATCTGGATGTAAATAAAAAACTCACATTTCTTGGTCGATTTTTTTCCACTATAAAGTCAGTTATCATCTTAGAGCAAGTAAAGAAGAGACCGCGTTTTAGCTGTCTTTGGTCACCAAATGAACTAGCAGAATTATTATTGATATCGGCTACACATAAGAGACTATAGCACCGTTTATTTGATGCCCAATAAAAGAGCACCAGTTGAGTTGTAGGTAGTGGTAGGCATACCTTTATCTGCTCTAAACTTTTTAATTTGTCTATTACTCAAGTGGACTATTATTCCTGGCTTAAATTATTATTTTTTTTATTCTAAAATAATAATACTTATTCTAATTTAAACTAGATAAAATTAGATCAAATCGAATAATTGCGACGTAGGTAGGTAGGTACCTACTTTTTTCATTTATATGTGAGTATAATGAAAATTGTTGACGGTCAAATAAGGTACCTATGCAATAGAAGAAACCATTGACACTTTTTTAAAAGACAGTGAAGGTCAATTAGGATATATACGCAGTTTCAGTTTGTATACTGCATCAATTTACAACATATTATAAAGTAATTAGTAATACCCTCATAGATCTATTAAATAAATATTAAGTATGGCACACATTATTAAAAAGTGATCAGTTCTACTAAAACTATGAGGATCCTAGATATGAACTAACTTCGTTTTACTCTCACACTTACATTACTTAGCTATTTTACAAAAAGATCTTTTAGCGTGGCACACAGAGAAGATTCGCATGCTTCTGTCGATGGATCTTCCTCAGCTTTAGAAAACCAATTCGATTTAGCTCCAAAAACTTTATTTGCCGCACCCATTACTCTGTCAGCCAGTTTACCACTCTTGCTACTTGTTGAAGATGAAGGAACTTCTTTCACGCTGGTTGAATCTGGAGATGCTTGTTTCAAGAATCCTTCGATGGCAGATCCCAGCGCATGAGCATCGATTAAAGGACCAGTTTTTTGGGTCCATACAGCTTTTCCGGGCTCTTTTCGGACAACTTTTTTAGATAAATTTTCCAAAAATTGTTTCTTTTCGCTTATAAAGCCAGTTTTTGGTTGGTGCCTCTTTGTAAACCAGTTGGAGGCTCCTTCTTGTTGTGTTTTTTTTGAAGTTAATGAAATTCCCAAGCCTCTGAGGACAGAAACATCGAAACTATTTGATCTGCTAGTTTTAAGTGGATGAGGTTTTTCCTTAGTTCTAGCTTTCTGTTGTGGCAGAAGAGTCGGGGTCGGGACTTCCTTCTCCCACTGATTGATTTCGGTTGCAGATGTGGAAAGAGAAGATAAAATAGATATCAGATCAATATTAGTGCAAACAATTCCAGACTTAACCTTACTTGTGCTCGGTACGGGTGGAAGTTCCGATGCCCTACGTTTCGTGGAACTTGGAATTGGTGGAAGAGTTGTACCAATAAAATCGGAAAACCTTCTACCGGAATTTGTGTATCGTTGAGCACTACCTGCAGCTTCATCCATCGGTTCAACTTCGCAAAGTTTTTCGCTGCTCGTATTCCAAAGTTTCATTCGTACTTTTCTGGCTTGAACGATATCGTCCATTATGTCCAATTGTAGGTTATGGACACTGCCGCGCGATTCAGTTGAAGGAGGACATGCGATGGATTCTCTACGATCAGGTAAAATTCGTGAGGGAAATGTGGGAAAAGCAGCTACAGACTCTCTGCGACTTCTACCTCCAAGAAAAGCAGGAGGCACTTTACATATAGTAACTACTGAATGCCTTCTGCCTCCTGGTGATACTTGGGGTGCTTGTGAAAGGGTGGCTAAAAACTCGGTTTGTCTTGGACCAGGTGAAGCATCGCCACGGTCCGAAAGTCTTCGAATTTGACTGGCCGTGATGCCGCTGCATTGCGGGTTAGGCAAAGAAAGCTTTCTAATTTCGCGTGCAAAGGGTGACAACAAATAAGGGTTCATGGTTGGTGAATTGTCTTCGGAACCAAGCTGTGAACTGTGGGATTTTTGTGCTTCTTCTTCATGTTCTTGTTCTTCGATCACGATTTGTGGCTCTGAGGATTGTGACTGAAGGCGGGCTACTGATGTTCGACGCATATTTGACTGGCGGACCTGAAACAAGAGAAAACTAATTATTTTTTTGAAAATTCAATTGATAATCTTACTCGTAAACATTTAGATTATCAATTAATTGACGGAAATTTTGAAACCGGTGGTTTTTATGAGTCGGACTAGAAAGATTAAGTATATCCAATTATTGAAAAATGTATAAGCAATGTTGTCAGAACGTTGAAAACATCTAAGTAGGTACCTATATTTTGAGGATAAGAGATCGGAGCATAGAATACCCTAAAACTTCATTCCGCTTAAAAAAATAAATGAAAAAAACCAGCAACATCACCTATCCTAAATTCTATTTTTCGTCATTCTTTATTAACAAGTAGGTGACTAGGTATTCAACGGTATTATAAATACTATTAGCTTTGGAATAGTAGGCAACCTTGGTCAAACATTAGAATTCACTTTAGAAAAGTCTGTTCTAGGTATCTGACCAACGATGGTTCGATGTCGATAGACATTACCTAACCTAGCAAGTAGCAGGTCAGGCATAGTTTTGTGCAGTTTCCGATGTTCTCAAAGCTGTTCTGGCCATAACTGCTCTGTACCGATGATCGCCTGAAAATATTTTAATTTTCAAGCAAAATTCGATAAATATTAATAGCAACTCAATGAAGAAAAAGAAACTGGAAATATGTACTGAATCTTCCAACATCTTCTATCAGGAGATAATAAACCGCTCTCTTTAGTTAATTGAAACACCATATACAGGCTACAGATGGAATGCTGATATATACAAAAGCTTACGAATGTATACGTATATCCATCGCCAAGAAATGGGAAGCGAAATCGAAATATTTTAGGTCAATTAATAAATCATTGAGCGTTTAAATTCTTCTTGGTCATTCCTCATTTGGATGGCTGTAGCATGCTAAAAGCTACTGTTCGTTTTTTTTTTAAATTATATTGTTTAATACATCTTTGAATGCTGGCCAGTCACTGGTTCCACAGTTTCGTTACTTTAGTTATGCCGCTACTAGAGAGGAGGCGCAAGTTTCTCCAGCTATTCAGCCATTTTCAAAAGACCAGTTAGTAGTTAGTACCTCTCGTGCACGCTCATTCTAAACGAGACGGGAGCTTTGAGATCACTGCTCGCTACTCAGCCCTTTTTAATTTTGCCGTTCGACCCGAAAGGTTGATCCTGGCCTGGGGACCGCCATCTTCGCAAGTCCAATATCGTTCACTGTTCTCGTGGAAAAAAAGTACCTTATCAGCCATCAGGCGCTTAGTTTAACGAAATAAACTTGCGTGAGGCAATGTTCTGTTAATTTTAATTACCGAAAAATTTTATATCGTCTTGTGGTTTCCGTTTGATTCGAGTTTGAATATCGAACCCCCTCGTGGTAAGTTGTTTTTAAATTTCGTTAATGTAATGGTTATTCGTGGGAATGCCTCTATTACTTAAGGTCTTTTAGGGAAGCCCATTCTCCAACGAATCCCCATTTTCGTGGAGCCCCATTTTTCCACGCAGATTGTTTGGCTGGAGCTTGGGCATAGAGATAATGCAGTGATTTCTTAGAGGAATCAATTTCCTCACGTATCGATACCTGTCTCTCAACATTTGACAAAGATTATGAACTTATAGCCCTATCTACTTTTATTCAAGACTTATTCGAGTCTGTACTTCCATCACCGAGTGACAGAAAGTAACCTGCAATTTTGAAAAAGCGGGATACAGGTCACCATTAAAGAATACTGATGACGTTATATCATACTACCTATGTCATCATGGCGTCATCAATGCAAATAGTACTACCACGCCACTGAGGGTAGTTTTCGATGGTTCGTGTCCTTCCGACAGTGGTTTCTCTCTAAATCACTTGCAGTTCGTTGGTCCACAGTTCCAGGATGACCTGTGGTCAATTTTGATTCGTTTTACGGCTTAAAAGGTTGTATTTTCTGTAGATATTTCCAAAATGTTTCTCCAAATATTTGTCAAGGAAAACCAACGAGATATCGTGCGTATTTTATGGAGGTTTAGTCCTTCTGACGAGCTAGTTACGTACACTTTAAACACTGTAACTTTTGGTTTGACCTCTAGTCCTTTTTCAGTAGTTAGGTGCAGCTTTCACTTGAAAGTGCGGAGACACATCCAAGGGCTTCGCAGATCATTTCCAATGGATTTTATATGGACGACTTACTCTCAGGGGCTGGTTCCGAAACGGAAGCGAGGGAAATATGTCGTGACGTTTTCAACATCTTGAAATCAGCAGGGTTTGAGTTAAGAAAATGGAATTCTAACTCCGAAAGTGTCTTAAATTTTATGAAAAAATTGAATTTGGGTAATAGCTCGAATATTACGGAATTTGGTGAACAGAGTCAGTCCAAAACTCTTGGTTTGTATTGGGATAATAGGGAAGATATGCTGATGTTTAAAATCGGGAATCTTGAACCCAGACTTGTTAGCAAGCGAAGTATTCTCTCAGATATAGCGCAGATATTTGACCCCTTGGGTCTTGCAAGTCCGTGTATAATTATTGCGAAATCTTTGCTTCAGGGTCTTTGGTTGGAAAAGTTATTCTGGGATGATGAGATTCCTCCAGTTTTGAAAATACTTTGGTTGCATTTTCGAGAAGAATTACCACTTTTGAATTCCTTGACAATTCCACGTCATGTTCTATGCAACGATCTTGTATCCCGAGTGCTGCATGGATTTGCAGATACCTCGCTGAAAGCATATGGGGGTGCCGTCTATGTTCGTAGTGTCGACCAAGCCGGACAAACTGATGTTAACATTCTATGTTCTAAGACAAGGTTTCTCCTATTGAAGCCTTAACGGTTCTAAAACTAGAATTATGTGGAGCTCTTGTTTTGGCTCAGTTAGTAAACAAGGTTCAGTCAAGTTTCGAATTTAAAATTGACAAAGTGGTGCTTTGGTTAGATTAGACGGTTGCTCTCAGCTGGATTCGTTCCCCAGCAAATCAGTACCAAATATTCGTCGCCAATCGAATTTCACAAATTCAATCCTTGACAGCTTCTGTTCAATGGCATTTCATAAAAACTGACGAAAATCCTGCCGACCTAGTTTCTCGGTTTCGAGGTGTTTTTCTTAGTAAATTGATTATTAATATTTTTTGGTTCCATGGTCCAAAATGGTTGAGTGGGCCCCGAGAGTTATTGCCCGAAGAACAGCTTCCATTACAAGATCCACTTCTGGAAAAGAGAAAACCAGCTGTTGCATATGTCTCCACATATATCGAACCTTTCACGGCGTTTCAAAAGTTTTCCAGATTTAAGAAACTGCAACAGGTTTGTGCCTATTGCATTAGGCTTCTACATAATATAAGAAAAAAAATGATCCTTTTGACGGTCCTTTATTACCTAACGACTTCGAGTATGCCACGAGTTCTTTGGTTGAAATTATTCAACGGGAATCTTTTTCAACCGAGTTAAACCTTTTAGAACAAGAAAAAATGTTACCAAGAAATAGTAATCTTCAAAAACCTAATCCGTTTTTAGATTTGGAAGGGGTACTAAGGGTAGGAGGTCGTTTGCAGTTATCAAATGTTCCGTATAATCAGAAGCACCCAATGCTTCTTTCTTCGAACCATTTCATTACACGAATACTGTTTCGTGACGAACATTTACGATTATGTCCTGCTGGTCCTAAGCTGTTAGTTTCCTCGATAAGAGAATCCTATTGGCCATTTTCAGGCACCAATTTAAGTAAACAAACAGTACGTTTGTGGCGACCCCAAAAATTTCGAGGTGCTAAAATCCCAGAAAATATAACTAAACTCAATTGGTAAAAGCATTTTTGTAGTCATTTTAATTAGAAAAGTACCTACGTCAGTTACAAGATAATTTAATCTCAACTTATTAAATCTCCTAGCAATCCAGCATCTAATTCCGTATAAAAATAGTATAAATAGAAAATGACGAAATTTCTAAGCTCAACCCAAATTACATAACAATTTTTTTTACCAACACAAGCGACCGGATGTGATTTAATTGCATCATAACTGATAAACTATAACATCGGTGTTTCCGCCAGATGTTGCATCATATCCTAAATAAAAACTTAAAAAAAAACAATTTTTGGAAAACAACAATGTCGTTTATCACTCGATAAACGAGGACAAATAAGAGGATTGGTTCGAGCAATGCTAAATGACCGCCCACGTAACAGATTTTTGGTGGGAATTGAGTACTATTTAAGCAAGTTACAATCAGAAAGAAGGATATAACATCCAGCAGTTGATTTCATAGTGAGATTTTAAAAGAATCAAGAAAATTGGCAGTGAGTTGAGTCTCCACCAAAACGTTTTTTTTTTTAATCTTTGTTTTGCCTCGGGCAAAAAGCTAAAAAGTTTGCGATTGACTATTGTCCAGTAAGAGTCATAAAGTAGTATCAGGTTTTCTCTTGTTTGTGCGTGCTAATCAACTGAAAATAATTTTGATCGTTAGTGTAGTTAAGGACAGATTGTAAGTACATATAGAAATTTGAGACTTTAGTATTTATCTATTATAGGCTTTCCAGATACCAAAGGATTTAACAAATTCAGCAAGTTTTCTGGCAACGCTGGTCTACAGAATATTTACAAGAATTGCAGCACCGCGTTAAGTGGAAAACTAACCATCAGACATTAAAGGTAAATACCTACGTTGGTGTTGGTTAAAGACGACCAGGCTCCTCCATTAGCTTGGAAATTAGGTCGAATTGTTATTATTCATCCCGGTCCTGATAATGTTGCTAGAGTAGCGACAATACGCAGGTAGACTTCTTAAGAGAGCGTATTCCAAACTGTGCCCTCTTCCCATTGAATCCGTAGAAATGGACAATGTGTGTGCGTCAGGAGTTGGGTCAAGTGGAATTTAGTTTAGTGATGTGTAATGTTAGATATAAGGTATCAATTAATCGTATGTATCATTTTGCCCCTTCGAATATGTAAAAAAAGCCTTACGTTTTTTGAAAGGCATCCTTTCAAGACGGGCATATTTAGTAAATTAATGTCAATTTTTTCAGAATTTATTTTTTTTGAGTTAGTGCACAT